TTTTACAAGATACAAGTGCCTGAATGTTACATTAGCCACTACCCTGCATTTCATGGACCCTCAAATAAATACAAAGATGAACCTAGGACATTTCTTTCCTAGATTAGCTCTCAAAACTGGAGTCTTTTGAGTTTGGGAACTTCCAACTACATAAGAACATAGCTCTAGAAAAGCACATCTTTGATCTTTCTTTAAAGCCAGAACATCACAAAATAATTCCTACTGTTCAAAAGTTGATTATATATTCACACACACTGCTGCATAAAGTTCATGACTATGAACACCATTTTAAATGACCAGAAGTATTTCTGCCTGATCGAAGGCAATTACTGAACACAGAATTGGCTACCATGACACTTGGAGTGCAAGTTAAAACAAACACATGTAAACAGCCCCCTGAGTTGTGTTCAATAGTATTATCCCATTCTTTCTCCGAAACAGGGTGACTGCATATATACTCCTGACTGGGAATTGCCTCCAACTTCAAACCCTACCTGGGAACACTTCAGAAAAATACCAGCTGGCTGGCCAAAATTCTGCCAAAAAACATTCCAGCACTTCAGTAGCACAGTATCATATTCCACATTTGAGGAACACTCCTGGGAACATTCCCAGGCATCCTTGATTTTACTAGTATGGACTCAGCCTAGGATTTCCACATGCTTACTAGAATAAAGTTTTGCTACTTGGCCACTACCTTCTGAACAGAGAACCCATCCAAACCAAAAGAATGGCAGAAATTAACATTACAGTTAAGAATCCTTCCTGAAAGGGACTCCAGGGCCAGTTTGGAACAAGCACCATTCAGCACTCGCCAGAAAGCCATGTGCTCATTAGACCTCCATTTTACACCCTCACTTTCCGATTGTCCTGGGATAAACACAACAGCACTTGTAGATTCCACATAGCCACCACTGGAACAAGATCTTAACTTCGGAGTTCAAAAAGGGATCTCAGAGAGCCAATCAATAGCAGCTGTAACAAGAAACACTGAGGAGTGTCACTGCTAGTGAAAGCACAAGCAAAACAATGCTTCCTGCCCACAAGTCTCCAAGGCTTCCCTTTTCCTGCTTTTCATCCTCAGTCCCTTTTGATCCATGCAACAAGGGTGTCATTTTAACAGAGAGAACCCTGTTGTAGCTGTCACACAGCTACATCTTCGGGTTGTAACCAAAAGTTCTATGGAAACAGTGTAACAGAGATGCTTGGGAAGGGAAAGGGATCAGGAGGAATCAGGAGAAAAGGAAAAGGACACAGAGCATCTTTTACCTGACACTGCGTATCTGTTCTAGTGCTGCTTTCATTTAGCCAGCATGGAGAGAAACACTGGGGGGCAGCTGGCACCACAGCCTTCCTCACAGCCTGAGTGGAGGGAGCATCCTGTGCATTGTCTCCTTCCAGTGGGTCTCTATGCAACTCCTGCTGCGCTCACCTCGACCTGCTAGATATCTATGCCCTAACACACAACATCTTAAGGTCACACAACATTTTACATAATTCCAATAGATTTTACCACAGCCTGGGAATGGATACATCACCATCACTCACTTCACAGCACAACATTAAGGTGGTTTTCTTTTGTGTTTTTCTTGTGTGTTTTTTAACATTCCTTAAATAATTTGGTTAACAAATCACACAGTTGAAGCTTGTACAAAAAAGCACTATCAGAGAAATGTATTCACAATAATTAATCAGAGTGTGAAACATTTTCTAGAGAGAAACAGTCTTGAAATGGCTTAAAAACCTTGAGAAGTCTTTGAAACAATAAAACAGAATTTTTGTTTGCTTCCTTTGATTTCTAATTCCTGGTGTACTTGGATAGCATTTTCAAGAGGTTTTTATTCCTCCAACTTCCAAAGCCACAGAAACTCAGCTTTTTAAACATGAAGCTAACAGTCCTGTGACATGACTCTAGAGGGGGGCTTGACAAAAGCTCCCAAGTATCACAATGTTAAAAACCAAAGAGTTGGCAAAATACCTCAGATTTGAGGAGGTGAAGAAATATGAGTGGCACGAGACGGACTTGAACAGCTGTACATACTTCAGCTCAAGATTTTAAATTTTCTGTCAAAATATTGCAGTGAAAAACCAACATTCTCCACAGAAAGCAGCTATTTTTGGTGAAAATGCTATTTTATCAAAACTCTATTTTCCATTAAACACAGTTTTGACAGAAATTTTTCAACTCTCCTTATTCAGTGTTATGCTCTGTAGTTGGAAATGTTAGCAGTTTTTTAGGCTGTCTCTACAACTGCAAAGATTTATAAGGACTTGGCAAAGATGAAGAATGGGAAAAAAAATCTGATGTAAGACTAAGATCTCTGTCCCTTCCTATTACACACAGCCCTAGAAATGATTTTTAGTGAAGTTTAATAGAATACATGACAGTGACAAAGCACAGCAATGCTGCTGCAAGAAACCTGTTAATATGTCTTTTCATGGCTTTTTTTTTTCCATTGGATAGTACTGGCAAAGCATCTTTCTTCTATTAGTAAAGCAATGGAGTCTTTCATTTTGCCTTACTGAACTAGGGGGTAATTTTTCACCTAGTCAAGCCCTGGTACCACTGGTCTGTGTGCTGAATTTGGGAGCCCTGTAGATGGAGTTGCACCTTCCTCAAATCCTAAAGAAAGGGATTCAGTACAGGACTATGCCTACTTGTCTGCTGGAATGACGCAGGACTCCCTTGGCTGTGCTCTGAAGGCAAGCTGCTGCTGCTGCCTGCTTGTATCATGTTACAGCTCAGTCTGAAGTGAAACTGCGGGGAGAAAAAGAATCGGTGTGTGCAAATCAGAGGTATTTTGAAAATCAGAAACCTGCTATTGGGAAAAGGAGAAAGAAGGCTAGAGAACTCCTGAGCACTGTTATTTTCTGTAGCGCTTTTGGTTTTTAGGCTTTCCAAAATGTATTTACAAGGTTTTGGGGCTCTGCAGCCTCCCCATTGTCTGCTGAACCTTGCCTAAACTAAGCAAGCACTTAGGCCAGGTTGGACAGGGCCTTGAGCAACCTGGTCTACTGGGAGGTGTCCCTGCCCATGGCAGGGGGGTTAGACCTGGATGAGCTTTAAGGTCCCTTCCAACCCAAACCATTCTGGGATTCTATGAACACAGCTTATCTCATTAGTAATGAGGCAAAAGAGAAGCTACGGTCATGACCTTCACCCAGCTTAGCCCTGGCCTTTGCCTGAGACTGAGAGAGCCACACAGTCATAGCTGCTATGAATTAGTGCAACATGAGGGTCAGTGGAGCCACACAGCATCACAGCAACTGAAAATGTGCCCTGGATTTTGCTGCCAATATTAGAATACATATTTCGCATGCACCTCCTTTCTCTTCATCCCCATCTCGGATGAACTTATGCAGTCATGATTAGTAGCAAAAGTACCCAAGCTCCCATTCAGTGACTGTGGGACAAGAGGCAGTCTAAGAGATCTTTTTAACTGGACACACTTCCTCACACAACCAATTTGCAAGATAGGCATATGTCAGCAATAGTAACCCATATACAGAACACTCTGGACCTAAAGAAAACAGAAAACCAAGTCTGATGGCAGATGTGAGGAAAGGAAAGTTTCCATATAACATCTCTCTCTGACTCCACTAACTAAAAAATGATGCAGGGGAACAACAGCCTGCTTCCAAATCAGAGGGATGCATACACATGAGCACACACAGACGCATATAGGATTTTTGCTAGTTGTCTCTATGGAACCCCTAAGTATCCACCAACATTAATATAAATCCTTCCTTCCTGCAAGCCAGCATTCCCCAGCCCGTTCCATCTCTCACTTCCCCCACAAAAATGACAGACTGACTCTAATCTCCCACCTGCATAAATCTCCTACAGACAACCACAAATATTTTAGCTATGCTGATTTATGGAAGCACGAGCAAGACTAAACCAGGAGATCCATCCTCCATGCACAATGACTGATGGCTTGCTGCAAATCTTTCCATTTAAAGCGCTGTCACTTTTGCAGCTCCATAGAGAGAGAAAAAAAAGAGGAATAAAATAACATGCAGTAATGCAGCTTATGGCAGCTCCTGGGAAAAAAGCATTTGTGCAACCTGATTTCTACCAAGTCCTTCTGCACAAAATCTTCCTACTAACTGAAGAAACTCGATTTGAGAATGGATGTAAGAACAGCTGCAGGACCCCGCCAGCTCTCCTCCAGCCATCCCATTTTCTGACTTTAAATGACCATGGCAATCTAGATTTACAGCCAATGGAGAGTTGTCTTTTGTATCTGTGGATTGAAAGAATGAATGAAAATGGGGACTCCTTACTCAGATTCAACTACAGCAGAAAACAAAATCAAGACTGTAGCCCCTGGCTCCAGAATAATTAACAGCAAAAAACTCCCCAAATCCAGTGGACTAAGCTTTGAAGGCCACAAGGCACTGGGAACATCCATTGACCTCAGAGAATACCCATCAGAGACAGGATGATTCTGACAAGAACAAGACCAGGACCACCGAGTTTACTCATGGCAGATAAACAAAAAGGACACAAACTGTGCACAAGAGACCTGTCAACATCTGGTGCAGCCTCTCCACAGAGGCAAGAGCTTACAGAGGAGATTGAACTCATTTAGCTGCTCTGAGCCAAGCTGTTTTAAGGTTTGTGTTTTGCACCAGGACATCAACAGGGGCAGATAATGCTGTTGTGGCAACACATTATTACTATTCTGCCAGTTGCAGTTTCAAAGAGCTGGGCTGAGACCCGAAGTCACAGAGCAAATAAAGGGATTTCTGCATTCTCAGCTTCACCAACACCATTTTCCTGGCACTTCCTCTGCACCTTCTCTGCAGTGGGCTGTCTCTTCCACGCAAGCCTGTTGACAGTCACAGTTTCACCTGTTGTCACAAGCATGTCAGTAGTAATGTCTAACTGAACAGCTGCATGCTTTCTGTTCTACTGCATCTAATTGACTAGTAAGTAAAGCCTTACAGCAGGATTACTGACCATACTCCTTTTGTATGAAATTTAATTGACTTACCAAAAGTTTTGCTGGGTTACAAGTCATTTGTTTTCACATCCTGACTCCAAGATATCAGCTGGAAGAAAGAAAGAGGGTTAGCTAGTTAAAAAGAAGAGCAATGGATATTTTATATCTTTGGAATGCATGTCTGAAATGCAATGGTTATTTTAGGGCATGTTACATTGTCTACATGGTCTATTACACGGAATTCTGGACTCAATTTCCTCTCCAGGCTCTGTGAATAATCACTTCCTTTTTCTAGACCTTAATTTCCTCAGTCAGTAAAATGGGGAAAGTTACACATACTGTCCTTGGAAATGCATTTAATGACAAACCTTTATGTAATGGCTAATTGTGCAATATCATGAATAAAGGAGGAGAAGACCAGCTGTCAAGTAGCTTGGGACAAATCCCACCCCTATCAGTGACAAATTTATACAGGTTTGCTTTAGGCTCCTCATTCAAGACTTGCAGGTGAAACTTGAGAATACCTGTTCTAACAGGAAACTTTGCTTTTCCTTGCTATGAATCAAATCCAAAATGACACACTGGTAACACTTTGTACTTGTTCTTACCAGCTTGTAAACCCAACTCAAAGAATATCCTTATTTGAGAAGGAAAACAGAAAATCCCCAGGACTCGGCGACAGACACTCCAATGAGGCCTAAGGCTTAATTACACATGGATCTGCTCTAAAAAGAACTTTATAGACTGCTTGCAGATTTCCTTGGGTCACATGCTTGAAGCAGGAAATAATGCTTTTATTAAGCAGGATCTTAATAAGAAACAGTATAAAAGGAGACTAGAAATAGATAAATGAGGATTTTGAAAAGTCTGGCAGTGGGACAGAACAATCATCAACATGAGGCAAAAGAATGCTCCCTGCTTCCCATCCCAACTATCTTTTTAGCATGGAGAACTTTTCAGTTCGTGTGTCAGGCTGAGAGCCACTGGCTTGGACAATCCTGGCAGCTGTTTGTATTTGCACACCTACAGTACAAAACAGTAATCTCTCAAACCTGTTCTATACGGCAGATGTTGGTGACCAGCACTATTGCAGACCAGGTGCCCACACAAGGGCACAGAAGCATTACAAGGCTTAAATCAACACTCCCAGAGTGGCACTTTGCTCTTTATATCTCGGAATCCAAGCTGCCTGTCTCTATGGCTGAACTGTGATAGCTTGGTTGGGCTAACGAACAGATTCATTCTGCTATGGCAAAAAAAAAAACAGAAGGCAGAGTCTTGGACAAGCACAAATTAGAAATAATGTACTCTCTGTGAAGTAGCTACCACCAGGACAAAATGAACAGAACTTTGGCTTAAATAGCCCAGACATCAAGAACAGTTCCAAAGAGGCCTACATAAAAAACCTGCATGGTGGCAACTCAAAGAAGAAAATAGAAAGGTCTTGGTCAAACCACAGAACATCAAGGAAACAGAAAAGAAAATAAAAAAAAGTCCACTGCTTTTCTGTTTCTGCTAGTTTACTTTTGGACATGTGGGTATGATTTCAAATAGTTGTATGTAATACTACAAAAGCCTTGGGTTACGTGTGAACCCCTGCATGTCAGAACTGCAGAAAACAGTTGTACAAGAAGATGATCACTACGTGAGAAATACGTGTACAAAGTACAAATAGGTGTTGGGGTCAGGGTTCAGGACTGAGCCTGCCAGATACAAGAGGCAGAGCACCACTGCTAACAGGAGCCTTAGCTCAAATTCTGTTTATCATCTGGAAGGAGTCTGAGTAACTTTCAGCAAAAAAGTTCTTGTTTTTCTCCAAACAGAAAGATCAAGATCAGAACTTGGGTGCACACACACATGCACACACAAGGCAAAACAAAGGACCCAACATATATTAACTTAAAATAACAATTACTTCAATTGACAGTGTGATGTCAAGACATGTAGATGAAACATATTTCCATTACAAAATCTATTCTGTCTGCTACTAACATTGTCAAGTGCATTCAGCCTCTTGGTAGCTCAAGATGATTCCATCACCGATCCATCAAAGGCTAAATACAGCTATATGAAACACAGAATATAGGATGTGATCACTTAGCGTGCATGGAAGCGTGAAAGTAAGCAACGTGCTCATGGTAGTCAGGTTAAAGCATTATTTAGCTGGTTAGATCACATTCCCACATGGTTTGTAACTACACATTAACAAGTCAAGACAGACCTCCTAAGTTTGGCACTTTGCAGAAAGCGTTCAGGAGGGATTTTCAGCGACGGCAGGAGCAGCTGCTGGCAGCTCCCTGCAACTCTGACTGCAAGCTCACAGCTGCATGCGCTGGACAATGAGATGGTGACCCAGCCTAGCTGTGGTGCCGTGTTTGTATGAACATCCTGCAATAGTCCCCCTATCTCCAGAAAACCAAAGAAAAGGCACAGAACAGAGTTGAAAAGAATCATTTGTAAACAACTGAATGGAAACCCCTCTTTTACGAGCTTCCTTTTGCAGACTATCCTCATCAAGCCAAGGTTGATGCTTTCTGATTTAGGCCCAGCATGCACTACCTTCGTTTCCTGCACTCAAGCTGCTAGTGCTCACACAGAATGAAGTGGGTGATCTCGCTACTCCATGTTCTGGAAGGTAGAATAGAAAAATGAATGAGGGGTCTACAGTGTCCTCCCAGACTTGACCTAGTTCAAAGAAAAACCAGGAAGAGCTGTGGCAGGTTCATGCTGTGAAGAAATTGTTGCTGCTTCCAACCCACCATGCCAGACTGTAGGATGCTGCTGCGAGGTCACCTGAACAGATTCACTACAGAATTCAAAGCCACAATGAAACAAGATGCTTTCAGAGAAGTACCTGGTTGCTGACTGAAGGAAAATCTCTGTGTAGTTAACACAGCCCTGCACAAGTTTGTGTTGAAAACTTCAATCACACAACCATACTCACTTTTAACACATTACTTGCTTACATGAGAGACTTACCCCATAAGAAGAGACAAACCACACAAGGATGAAACTTACCAGGGTCAGTTTCTAATCTCAGACTCCTGTAAATCAAAAGTGACTCCTTAATCAGAACATTTTAAACCAGAAGTTAAACCAGGCATGTATCTATACAATTCAGTAACTGGCGAGTGCCTGTCTGAGGAGTTCTGGAATTTTCAGAGGAAGTTAGGTTCTGAATTAAGAGCCAGGATTTTCAAACCTGAAGCAGCAATTTTTGTGACAATTCTATTCTTTCTGACTAGTAACCCCTCCACAAAGGCAGCACATTTTCATGGTTCACCACCAAAAAATTAAGACACGTTTTCCAAATGAGCTCAACTCCCAGTTTACATACCTAAATGATGCTGAATTACCAAAACAGTGTGTGACAAGAGCTGGCCTGAACCTGTCTTCTGGTTTCATTTGGTCCATAGAAAAATGGTGTTTTGGCAAAATCAAGAAGTTTCACATCAACAGGAGAGCTCCTCCGCCACAAAACAAGAGACTGCTGCTTTCTGACTCTTTCTGTAACTCCAATTAATTGTTTGTCATTAGAATTTACCACTTGGAAAGCCGGTAGAACTTTAAACATAAACAGACTCTTTCAAATCAGGAGTTGTCAGTGAAGGTATTGTTTCACAATCTACTAAACCTGGAACCTGTTCTGCTGTGGACCTGTCATCTCCTACTCTTGCTCCTTTTGCTGAGCCACAGCAGTCAGCCAGATCATGGAGCTCACATGGCAAGGGAAAAAAAAACATTTGGATTTCAGCCTCCTCCTCTTGGTGACCAACAGCACATTCATGCTGCCTGAAAAAGGGAAGGGGCAAGAGGATATAATTTGGAGGCAAAGCCAACTTAGACCAGCTCGACTGACAAATGAAACTGCACTCTCAAAGAACAAGAAACGTGGCCCCAGGAGAAGAACTGCTTCTCCCTCTGCTCTGACACTCTGTACCAAAGTAAACACAAACTGTCAACTGCTCTGTTCTGACAGTGGAGATCTGAGGAACACAAAACACAGAGCCCACACACCACAGCAATCCCCATCTCACTTCTCTTTGTTTCCACCCAAAGCCTGCATGATCTCACTGCTGAAGCACTTATCTTGGTTCTGTCCACAAGATGGGTGGATACTGGCTGACTTGTTAATACATTTTCCTCATGCTGCTGGGTACACTTCCCTTAGCATCCAATATTTTTGGGTTTGCCTTTAAAAACAGCATGCATAATGGAAAGGCTGGGAATACCTTTTTGGAAAGGCTGGAAATGCTTTCTCGTGCAGCAGAGAGGAAAATGTATTTCAAACTGAGCAAAAAAGCTCCAAACACAAGGAGGAAAGGTCCCTGTAGGAAAACTGCGGACAGTAGTTTGCACATGTAGGAAAATTCTGATAAATGGAGAATCTGTAACTTTGCAACCTGGATTTTGTCCCCTGTATAGGGACCAAGGACACTGCTGGTATGCCCCAGGTGTGGATTCTGCATGACAAGAGAGCCAGATTTGTTAAGTATCAGCTGAGCATGCATCTGCCTGCTCCTCTCACTGCAGGTTGCAGAACTGATATTATAATAGGCAGACTTCAAACTGCAAAGAATGGTCCTTTAAACACAAGGGTCAGATGGTTCTGAGCAAGAGAAAATAAATCAGAAAAGCAAACAAATGCACTCAGTGGGCCAAGTTTCACCATGAAAGGCTAGAGGGTCTTTTTCCTCTGCCTGCTATTGCCATTATTATCCTTAAAGTAATGGTTCTGGGAAGGAGATTTCAACATATGCCATAAAAAAAGCTGTGGCAAACCTACAGAGCACATTAACCAGAAGGAAGGGCAAACTACTCTGGATGTTCTAATGAATGAAATCATTTAATAACACCAGCGAGTAGAGCTCACTTATAAACACTTTCAGAAGCCTTAGCACTCAATTCTACTCATTTGAGAATTCCTGACAGCTGTTAAGATCCTTTCCAGCTATCAAATTACGGCAGAGGAATGGTGCAATTCCAATAATTAATTTCAGAATTTGTCAGAAAGCTAGAGAATATCATCATGATATTTTTTCTTTTTAAAGATCTCTTATCTGACAGAAAATATTTCTCAGCGAGTGGCGCTGAGGAAACCCTTGCACGTGGTGACCAGGCTGCAATCTGGGTAAGAGCAAAACCACCACGGTTCACAGGGTGGTGGAAGTACTTCTCAAGACAGTCACAGACAACCAGGAAGGTCTGTTGCAGGTTTTCTTTTTGGCTTGGTTAAATGTGCTATATTAGATTATCAGATATACTGCAGGGAGATAAAGCACTATAGAACTGAGACAAAATCTGGGCCACTTAATGAAACACCTTCTGTTGAATATTCAGCTACACAAAAGGTCTGTATCCTGCAAACCTTCACAAGGCCAAGCAGAGGGTCTGGCCCGCAAACCGTTGTCTGTATTTATCGATGAGTTCATTTAAGTACAAACTTCTTTCCATCTACAGATAAAAGTGTAAGCAGAGGGACATACTTCACTGAGAGACGGGCAAAACAGCAGCCAGCTCTGTGTTTTACTCACAAAGGCAGTTTATGCCTCAGCTCAAGAAATACTTGACCTCCCGATCTACCAGCCACAGCTACTTGCCTTGCACCAGGCATGTGGCCTCAACCTATAACCCATCAAAAACAGACAGCTTGGGAAAGATGGGACATGCAGAGCCTTGTAGGTAAATTTGGAAGATCTTATGCCGTGCGATCTTCATTTCTACTATTTATTTGGCTTAAAGATATTTTTGCAGTATATAAAGAGCTAACATGGATGAGCAGCTTACACATGGAAAACTCCTGAGCTCAGTTTCTGTCTGTGAGACCATTTCTTGCAAAATTTGACAGGCCACCCTAATTTCTGCATATAAAGTAATTTAAATAACAGTTTCAGATGCATTGGAGGGCAAGATGAGCACACAGAGGTGAGCTGAGGTTTGTAAAGTGCTTCAGAATCCTTCAGCCACAGGCACTGAAGAAAATATTCAACATGTTAGAAAGATTCCAGTGCCCAGTAAGCTTTTTTCCATTATAACTGAGAAACTCACACATCTAAAGGATACACCACCTCTTTTCTGGAACCAAATTCATTTCTGTCACTACTGCAGTCACAAAGCCTGATGCAGTGCTTACATCCAAGCCCTTGGCCTGTCTATTGTGGTCACCAGAAAAACCTGCCATTTATTTTTCTACTGCATAATGTTGTAAATCCCAAGAACAGTGAAACAGGGAATATGCTACTTCAGTGTGCAGACAGCTAACACAGAGCTGCTTGCAGCAAGGCAGGGAATCATCAGAGATCACGCCATGATCTTGGTGCCTCCTACACTGATCCTCATCCTCCCTACCAATGCTCATGGAGCCCGAAGACAGCAACAGCTCCTGTGCTTGTCCAGTGGACAAGGAACAACAGGCCCAAACAAAATGGCCACGGATGGAAGTTGCTATGTGCTAAACTCCACCATTTCAGCTTAAGAACAGTCAGCTGTTCTCTGCATGGCCAAGATACTGAATCTCACTCACAGGCAGACAGAGGCATTCTGAAGAACAGTGAAGAGATCTGAAGTGAAGATACAGGTTTTAAAAGGTTGGGCCAAGTGGCATATGCCTGTCCAGCAATTCCTTCTGCCTTCATCTTCTGAACTGTGTAACAGCGTGTGACTAATATCAGTCCTCCCACTTCTCCAGCCTAGTCATTTCAGCTGATATTTTAAAGTGTACCACACTATGTGCTGACATGCCTCCACCCTCTGCTAGCTTTCCTGTTCTAGAGAGACAGAGAGGGAGAGTGACTCATGCATCTCTCCTACTATTCAAGCCTTTTAAGCAAATTCAAAGGAAAGTTTTAAAGGTGCTCTCTTGCTTTGGGGATGCTTGGGTGGGGTTTTCTGTTTTTGCATGTGCTTGTTTTGTCAGGTTCTACGTCATTTTCCAACCTCTGTGATGCTGAGACATTTTAATAATTCATGACTCTTTCTGACACTGTCAAACTGCAATTTGGAAATGTCAGGGGTACCCACTGGTAAAGGCATTTGTGGATGCCTATAGGAAATTAAATGGAAAAGGAGAAGGATGGTAGAATGAGCTTGCTAAATGCCATATCTGGCTTGTACTCCAGCCATAATTAAAAGCTGAGGCAGTAGAAAGAAGAAAGTAAAAACCCTGAAAAAGAATGCATTTTAGACTTGATAGCAACGGACTTCAGAATGTGCCGAAGAAGAACAAATACCGCAGATTGTTATTTCAGTTCCAGCATATTTATGTCAGATTTAAACACAAAGTATTTTATCATCAGCTCCGGGCATCTTCCAGAGATAGCCATATGATGGCTACAAACCCCAAGGTAGAACAGCAACCAAAACGAGCAAAGAAACAACAAAACCATCAGGAAACGTGGACTTGAAAGTGCATCTCTGAGTTTCACAAAACTTGAGCTATTCTGAAGCCGTCAAAAGCAGATGAAAATCCTCATCGGGAAACAGATGAGCTGACACCTCACTTCTTTATCACGTAGAAGTGTAATACTAATAAAACCATAAATTATTTACTTTAACTCATGTAAAGAAACCTTGAAAGGAATAGAAAACAGCCCTTACAAGCAGCTACTTAGAATCAAGAAGCTAAAGAGCTCTTTGTAAGAGCCACGTCATTATGTTTTTAACCTAGATCCCCAGAGAACAGGGAGAGGAGAAAGCAAGCCATTAGGGAGATCACCAAGCAAAGAAGTCAGCTCACTGAAGTGTGTTTTCTCATAGACCTTTTTAATGCCAGGTTAAATCTTGACCTCAGACATGATCTAGAGAAAAGCACAGTCCACTGATACGGGCAGCTTGCTCAATGGCATCTAATGTCCCCAGGAAGACTTCCTGAGGAAACAGAGATGTTTTCCTCTTGCAGCAACAAGCTCCTCGGAATTAGATGTGTGCTTTTCTGGAACCCAGCCACTTAGGAAAAACCCATGAGGTTGACAGGACAGTGGCACTGGGGACCGATGTTGGACAGCTTGCTTAAAAAGTGAACCACCACACATTTAATGATGAA